AAAACAGTAAAAATTACTTTCTTAATTATAAAAACGAATATTCTAACAAATGATGATGATTTCCTAATCAAATACATATCCACAAATCAGGTTGTTGATAAAGAATATCCTTAAGGATTTTTTAAAAAAAATAATATACGCAACCAACTTGTAATAAACAAAAATAAAGACTCCAGTAAATTATTCTATTGTAATGACATGCAGCCTAATACTAAAGAAGGGAAAAAGAATATTAAAATTATAATATACTTCTAGTTAAATGTTATTGATTCTAATATTTAGATCTATGATTTATGATAAAATATTCAAAATGACTAATCTAATTCTTAGAAATTCAACAGTTCAAAATTGCGCCATATTTAAAAGTAATATCTTTTCTGAATTCTCGTTCCCTTTGTTATTTTAAAACACTAAATAATCAATAAGCAACAATGAATTCATTCATTGGCCACACATGAACCACCCTCTCGCGTAGTCTTATTTGTCTTTTCTTAAAATTTAGTGTAATTTTCGGATATATACATGTGTGTGTGTATATGTTAAATAAAATAGAATCATTTAAGCTTTTAATATACATGACATTATATAATTTAATGTATATCAAATTGACCAAACTTTCTACTAATAAATTGGTCAATATTTCACTTGGTCAATAATTATTCGATCAGATATAAATATTGAACACTTCATATATATATATATATATATATATATATATGTGTGTGTGTACTTATATATGTATATAAATTGGTTACATAAGACAACACCAAGCGCCGACAGTCATGTTTCAGGACTGAACGCAAACTTCAGACCAATTGTGATGTCTTTTGGCTCGACTGTTTATACATGCTGGTTAATTTGAGATATAACCGTTAATGCCCACGCAGTAACCGTTAGGATAATACAAGAGACCTTACTATCCATAATGCAACATAAATCAGCACATTTTCATACACAGACAGGCTGATGATTCTTTCAAGCATAAAACACACTGTTGGCGCTAAGTGTGGAACATTTAATGTTATTTATTATTAACAATGATCTCTCCCCCCCCTCTCTCTCTCTCTCTCTCTCTCTCTCTCTCTCTCTCTCTCTCTCTTAATATCAACTACGTTAATACAATGAACGCTTTCCCTCAAAACGTTATCTTCTGTAAATAACCTGGCGGACCGTCTTTTCTTTTAAATAAAATCTTTCATATTGCTCTGTCTCTCTCTGTGTCTATCCATTAGTATCAAAAACTTTGTGGGATTTTGCAGAAATTAGACAAAATCTGATGGCACCTCATTTCAAAAGGATTTATATATACAAGTAATAAAAATGAATTTTATAGACAACTAGTTTTATAGACAATCAGTACAAACTTTTAGAGTTTATTTTAACATAATTGTATGAATCTGTCTTTCTTGTGAGCCGAGGTAACTGTAATTTTCTCGTTGATAAATGAAGCATTTCATTGCAGCCAAATGTCACAGTTTTCAATACTGAAGTTCAATGACTGCAAGAAATGTTTTCCTTTTAATAGATTGACGCAACATCTTCCTATCATATATTTGGCTCTCTTTTATACAACAATAAACATAGTAAATATAAATTCGTTATTGATTTCATGAGGCATCAGTTAATTCCCAGTGTACAAAATGAAAATGTATTTCGAAAAAAAAAAACAACAAAACACAAACGATTAATCTGTTTCTCTTTTATATTTGTTTAACTGTAATTAAAGTCTTCTTCCTGTGTATTTCGAACAAAATAATCTCAGTGACAAGCAAGCTTTATTTAAAATGCACTTTCGCTTATTTGCTATAAATATTAAATAAGTATTAAGGAAGAGATAGAAATCAGAGTGAGCGCAGAGAGAAAGAGGAAATCCAAAGTTGGAGAATGTAATTGTATTTTAATAAAAAGAATTTTATAAGGAACAAAAATTGTGTGAAAGGCACAGATTTTTTTTTTTTTTTTTTGCCCTTTTCTTTTTAGAAGACATGTCAAACCTTTATTCTTCTTTGGATCAAATATTAACCCTTTTATTCTTTTTAAATTAAGAAGAATGTCCTGTTTATTTCAATCTATTCAAGAAACTATAGAAGCATCTCCAACAATTCCGACATGATATAGAGACTAGATTTTGATTTTTCTTTTCACGTCTAAAGAATAAAATCAAAGTTATCATTAATACGCATTCGTAATAAACAAACTTATCAATAATTCGCATTCGTGATAATCAAATTTATCAATAATCCGGATTCGCAATATTGCATGTAAGTGCACATTAACAATGTCATTCAAACCGGAAGAATCGATAATAAACACTGTTCTTCACTCCGTTCCGGGAGTTATCACGTCGATTTATTAATCTCCTAACACTCTTAAAAATGAATCCTATGGACGCTCATCAATTGCCAATTGGACCCCTAAGAATGGGGTACAGAATTGATCGGTAAATTTCCACCCGGTAACTGTACTTAACTTGAAGTTTCTTTTGGTACTACTACCCGAACATCTGCTCTCAGAACTTGCTGGTTGCTGTTATTTCAGCAGATATTGAAGCCATTTGAAAATCATTGTCCTTGAGATCAAATCATAATAAATTCTCGGTTTGAATGATCTTAAAGCTTAAAGGACTCCGAAAAGGAAATCGGTGAGATGAATTATGATGCTGACTGGGAGAGTTTGTTCTCTCTTAGCAGTTACGATCTTGAGAAAGATTCCTGATTCTATGTCACTTTCCCAATAATAAAGGAAAGGAAGCTGTGACGTGTCAGGATCAATTATTTCCTGAAATTATGAAAAATAATCTTAGAATTATCAAGGAAACAATAGTTCCAAATTTCTTCATAAATTTACCAAATTAATTAAATTTTAAAATTCATTCAAAAACATACCTTCTCAACAAAAATCATGAAATTTAAATACTAATAATTTAAACACTAATAATTTTAATCAAAATTCTTGTGGCTACTAAAATATTTAAAATATTTGTAGTCAACGAGAAAACCTCTCCAGTATATTTTTTTAGTTTATGCACAGCTTATATCTATTAAAGAAAAGAGTAATCCCCGAAAATCAATGGTGATCAACGTTCGGAAGAAACATGAGACTTAAGAAGGAAGCGGGTTATCTTGTTGAAATGGAAAAAAACACTAAAATATGACAAATCTGAACAAACAATTGTATCTGAAAAGAATCGCCTTTATTTTGCAAATTTAAACATTATAAAATATCTGTCCAAATTCCTGAGATGAGGAGTTACCATTATTCGAATGTATGCAGTATTCTGCAGATTAAATAAAGTTTTCAGTTCGGAATTACAATAACAATAAAAAAAAATGAGAGCAATAGTTCGCATGTAATTTATAAAATATTTTATTATGTAAATGAAATGTTTTGACTCCCATTATTAGAACTTAAATTCAGAAAATCTTCTTGCTGTTTTGGTTGCATTATAAATTATACTTTATTTTCTGGAAGTTATGGTAGATATTTTGCCAAAAAGGCCCAAGGCAAGTTCAAAAAGATTCGTGACAATTTTACTAACCCATTTGTCCGTGAGAGTCCTTTCCTATTTTGTGTGCATTCTAAAACATTTTATTGCCGTGTATGAAACATTTTCATCCAAATCATAATCATAATCATCGATAACTGAGAAAATTTACACCTATAGACTCTTATTTATTTATTTATTGATGTCTTGAGATTCGGATATCGCCTACATCGACCAAGGATTTAAATCTCTCTCAATAATTGAAAATCATCTTTCCTTAATAGTGGTCTGCAAGCAGCTCAAACAATCCTCCTTCATGGAAATTCCTCGTCTTCAAAAGTTGAGCAAATTAAGTCTAAATCGAAAAAAATGTCATGTACAAAACTTCAAAATTCTATCAGTTATTTCCCTTGCTAAATGTTTTCTTTTATTATCGATCAGAGTGAGGATATTATCTATTTGTCGAATAATTCTAATACTTCTCTGATTTTCAAAACTACTAGACAGGCTATACAGTAAACTGAAAAGAACATAAAAGTCAAAACAAAAAAGGTGAAGATAGTCGTCTGAATAATTTATGGAACCATGACGACATTATAACATCAGACATTCTGACGATACATAATTCTGCCTACCAAGAGACGCACGAAATCAATCGAACTTGACGATATGCAGATCGATAGAACTGAAAGTCACTTGGCGTCCTCATAGACCACCAGAAAAGCTTGCATCCAAACACTGAAATTGATTTGCGTCAATACAATTTCAGGGGCTAGTTCGATAACGTTCAGGTTTAGTGTTTCGAATTAGGGCCAATCGAATGGTAAGAGCTTGGATGTTCAATCATGACTAACAAGCCAAATCTAGGTTAATATAAAATCCATTAATTGATTCTCTTTCTATCAAAATCATCCATAATCTCTCATCTATGTATCCTCATCTCTATACTTTGATCGGGGTCATCGATTTTCGCCTGTTTGTATTGGAATCATTAATCAAATTCTAAACGTAGCCTTTTCTTTCGAATCTTAAAAGATGAATTTTTTTTCTGTTTTTATGAGGTGCAAACCGTTTCCTTTATTGAAACTTGTGACAATCTTCCAAAAGTAAAGAAGAAAAACAATGAATTATCGGTTAAGTTCTTCATGATTGGGTGCCTTTGTCTAGAATTTGAACGAAAGCAATGACCTTCTACATGTTCCTAATCGTCATTTCACCTGGAATATTGCGATAAACATGAAGATTTTTGGCGAGGGAAACAGACATTCATAAATATTTGAGATAGATATTAACAAAAGAAAGAAAGAAAGAAAGAAAGAAAGAAAGAAAGAAAGAAAGAAAGACGAATATCATGGGAGAAAGAAAGAAAGAAAGAAAGAAAGAAAGAAAGAAAGAAAGAACAACAAGAGATAAGGAGAAAAGCAAACATGAGGAACGTTACAAAGAAAGATCAGTATCATATAACGATTGAAAGAATGAGAATCAAAGAGAGAAAAAAAGAAAAAGAGATTTGTGGCTAGGAAAACAGATATTCATTAATATTTGAGATGGATATTAACACATGAAAGGAAGAAAGAAAGAAAGACGAATAACATGGGAAAAAGAAAGAAGGAAAGAACGAACGAAAGACGAATATCATGGGAGAAAGAAAGAAAGAACAGTATGAGATAAGGAGAAAAGCAAACATGAGGAACCAAAGAAAGATCAGCATCAGATAACGATTGAAAGAATGACGATCAAAGAAAGAAAGAAAGAAAGAAAGAAAGAAAGAAAGAAAGAAAGAAAGAAAGAAAGAACAGATAAAGAACAGTATCAGATAAAAGGAAGAAACAAAGAAAATAGAAATGCATGAGAGAAAAAAAGAAAGAAAAATGAAGACAAAATGATAAGCAAACTAAGAAAGAAAAAAGTAGGTTTTTAAATTTACCTGCTAAACTTGTAGAAATATTTAATATCGAATTTTCTATGTTGATCGAAGTCACAGACAAGTAAATTTGACTCGCAGACCAATATCCAATGTTGGGATCCCTAAACGAGAAAGAAATTCAACCAAACTGAGATAGATAAACATGAGCTATTTATGCTCACAATGATATCAAAAAGAGCCATACAAATGCAGAACGATGTATATGTGTTTTTATAGATTATTCAGAATCGTTTAATAAAGTTCGTCACAAAGAACTACTAGAACACTTAGGTAAGTTTCATCAATTTGGGACGGATATTAGAATAAGCCAGAAGCTATATTGGCAGCACAACGCCTGCGTACGTATAGAAAATGAATTGCCTACATAAAGAAAAATAAAAATAAGACAAGAATGTGTCTTCTCACCGAACATATAGATCCTTTACTGGGAAACGATCTTGAGAGAATTAGAAGTTCGACCAGGAATCATTATTGATGTTCGCAGCATTAATAAATTTAGATATACAAATAACAGTGTCGATAGCAGACACAAAAAGGTAACTACAGAAACTGTTAGAGTAGCAAATGCAGGCAAAAGAAAAGAGTCAACCTTAATACAAAACATATGGTCATCAGGAAAAGGAAAACCTAGATGCAAACTACGAATGTAAGGCGCCAAAATCAGGCCAGTAGTAAATGCAAATATCTAGGAAGCGTTTTAATACAGGACGAGAAATGTGCCATCGAAATCCGGAAGTGCATTGGAATAGCGAAAGATGCCTCCCAAAAGCTAAGCAAAGAATTAAAAATCAAGAAATCTTCTGTTAGAAACAAAAGGAGGAATTCTGAACTGTTATATTATATCGATAATCTCATATGGTAATGTTGAAAAATCACCTCACAGATGAAGAAAAACTTCAAGCAACCGAAATGCGGTTCTACAGAAGGATACTGAGAATACTATAGAGAGGAAAGAGGGTTTGAAGAATTTGATACTCCTTTTGACAGACTGAAGGCAAGAGAGACACAGGAAAACTATTTAAACAGTTTCTTTAAATGGTTGCAGAAAAAAAGGATTAGGAGAGATAGCAAAAAGATAAACAATGCTAAGATCTAAAAGGAGAGGAAATTGCGAAGAACAAAGATCACCCACGCACTGCAGGAAGAAGAAGAAGAAGAAGAAGAAGAAGAAGAAGAAGAAGAAGAAGAGATAAAGAAATATGAACAGACTGGAAAAAAGCACCATAGATAGAGAGATAGATATTAATAGAATGTGATAGATTGATAGATCGACAGATATGGAGAGACTGTGGCAGATAGATAGATAGATAGATGATCTACAATGATAGGCTAACACATTTATTTCGATGATTTATTCAATAATGCATTAATGTGTTTAGTCCTCATTCGATATTCTACTAATGTCAACTTCTAACATTCTAACAATGCTTGGTAAATATTTCTGCTGCCTTTATATTGGGTAAAAGCGAGCTCAACTAAGAAGCCATTCCTGTGATTTAGTAATTCGATTCTCCCTATCTGTCTATATTTCTGAGATAAGGTATTATGTACACTATTTACATTATTCGGACTATTGTCCTCATCTTTGTCGCCATGTTTATCACAACGTTTCGGCCATTGTACGCTCTGGCCTTCTTCAGGTGGTTGGAATGTCGAACTTAACCCTTTATTTCGCTCACTGAGGTAGACTGTTCTACTTCCGCGTGCCATGGACACATGGCTTAGTGGATAAAGGCGTTAGTTAGATCCAGTGACAGGACCCAAAGAATGTGAGTTCAATACCTGGTTAAGGAAGTGGAGAACTTTCAGAAGGGAATTAGCAGGAGATAACTGACGTCCATTAGACATGGCACGTGGAACTAGAACAGTCTACCGCAATTTAGCGAAATAAAGGGTTCAGTTCGACATTCCAACCACCTGAAAAAGGCAGGAGCGTATAACGGCCGAAACGTTGTGATAAACATGGCGACAAAGATGAGGACAATAGTCCGAATAATGTAATAGTGTCGATTCTGACTGTGCCCACCTTTTTGGCCTTTTATGTTCAACTTAGTAGATATTTCTATTGCCTGATCAATATGAACAGACCTATATATATCATAGTCACTTAAGGATTTGTGTAAATGGTTATAAGCAGAGGAATCACAAAAGATTGGTATAAGTACAATGATTATGTCAGCATTTATTATGCAATAAAAATTGGTATTAAGTAACCAATATTTTATTGTGTAAGTTCTATTTTACCGATTTGCATTAAAAATGTAGATGACATGTTTGGGGTGTGGGTTGTTGTGATTCATTAATGCAAAGAACGACATTATTTTTATTTAGGAATAAATCTATATTATACAGAGATACATATATTTGATTTATGACAAATACTTCTTCTCATATGTGCCGTGTCCCTGCAGTGCGTGGGTGATCTTTGTTCTTCACAATTTCCTCTCCTTTGAAGATCTTAGCATCGTTTGTCTTTTTGCTATCTTCCCTAATCCTGTTTTTTTTTCTGCAACCATTTAAAGAAACTGTTTAAGTCGATTTCCTCTGTCTCTCTTGCCTTCAGTCTGTCCAAATGAGTGTCAAATTCTTCAAACCCTCCTTCCTCACTATGTACCACAGACACTTCAATTGTATTTTTCTGATTCTCATTATGCGTGTTTCTGCTTGCATTTTATTATTTTAAATGTTAATATTGGCTCGTTAACATTTTCTAACCTTCATCATTTTTTCAAACTTCGATTCTCTTCATTTTTTTTATTTTTCCAATCAAGTAGGTAAGAATAATGTTTTTATTTTATTATTTTTTTATTCTTATATAAATTTCTTATGAGGAATGCAAAGCTAATACTGCATTAGTATCTTGCGTCATTACATTGATTTGGTGTGTTTGAAATCTTTCTTCACGGGGTCGAGAATAAATGGATTGGGAGACTGTAAAGGACTATTTTCTTACATAAATAGTTTCCTGGTTGAAATCTGTACCGCTTAATTTATTCAGCTATAAGGGACAATGTGTTAATAAGATATATGTTCGTGTAGTCTATATCCCTAAAAATTAAAAACCTTAACAGAGACAAATACTAGAAACTAAGTCAGACATGTCACGTATATTGCTTATATAAATATAATTATATCTTGAATGCTTATTAACATCGCCTGGATTTATACTAATTGTATTTGCATTATAAAATCTGACATATAAGCGTTTTCCAAAAGGCACATGTGCTCCTCAGAGATGCATTGTTGCTTTTTATGTCCTATCCCTTTTTTTCGCGCGTAACGCTTTCAAAAAGAGGATTTCCAAATTGGTGTGGGGCGAAAACTCATCATACCAACAATTTTACAGTTGAAATAGGTAAATGCATCCAGCGCTTGTACTCCAAGAGTTTCTTTTCTCGCACTTCGCACCTGTGGAACTCCCTTCCAATTTACTTCCTTTCCTGTTAACTAAAATCCTCAAAACTTTAAATCCAACATCAATTACCATCTTCTGTCTTCTTGAATCCCGTTCGTCTTATCTTCTTTTCTCAATCCCCTATACTCAATCTTTTCTTTCACTCCCTGGAACCAGCTGCGTGCTAAAGGCATATCTACCTTACTTAGGAATAAAAGATTCTTTTAATTATCAACTAAATGTATCACTGAATAATCTTCTTTTTTTACGTATTCCTTTTGAATAATATATTTGAAAATAATTACTGTGACGCAAACATATTTTCTGTGTAATGCGCATTGCATATTGAGAAACGGTTGCAAAATTATGCTTAAAACTCGAAGATCCTGACACGATTTCAGTCTTCATTTGTCGTCTTTTACACTTCAGCAATTTCGACCAGCCATTTGCCAACCCTCAAAATGTTGACCCTGAAGGCAAGGGCGGAAAATCAAACAATCTTGATCTGAGCTCGATTTCATAGCGCGAATTGATTAACAAGGACTACTGCCGTGTTTACCGCAAAGATAATTAAATCTGGCTCGATTTAGCGCTGAAGCCGGAAAGTGATTTGGAAAGGACATTGTTAAAGTTCTGAAACGTAGAAGCTGCTGCTGCTGCTGGTGGTGGTGGTCAGAATGATGAAGAGGCATAGATGCTTTACATTGATTTTGATAGCAGCGCGATAATAATCCTGCCGAAAGGGAAACAGAGAAAAAAAACAAGGAAATATCGATTCTCCCTTCATGCTTGTGGTCTTTTGTTTAAAAGTTTGATGAACACAATAAATAATAAATTTCTTCACGCTTTTAATCGTCATTTTAACAGTAATATTAATACGATAAAATTGATGATCAGCTTATTTTCATAGAAAGGGAATGTCACAAATAATTGATACAGGTACTAATATTAGAAAGAAAGAAAGAAAGAAAGAAAGAAAGAAAGAAAGAAAGAAAAGAACAACATGAAATAAGGAGAATGGGAAACATAATTAACATTACAAAGAAAGAAAGATCAAATAACGAGAGAAAGATAACCAAAGAAAGAAAATAAGACAGGACGAAAAAAGAACAATATCAGTTAAAAAAGGAAAGAAAGAAAACGCAAAAACATGCGAGACAGAAAGAAAGACAAACAGTATGAGAGGAAAAAAGAAAGAAACAAACAAACATTGAAAGAAAGAACAGTATAAGATAAGGAGAAAAAACATGAGCAACGTTAGAAAAGAAAGAAAGAAAGAAAGAAAGAAAGAAAGAAAGAAAGAAAGAACAGTATCAGATATCGAGACAAAGAAAAGTAAGCAAAGAAGGATGGGAAAAATCAGAAAGGAAAATGAACAGCATCAGATAACAAAAAAAAAAAAAGAAACGTTGTAAGAAAGAACATTATCAAAGAAAGAAAGAAAGAAAGAAAGAAAGAACAACGAGGAAAAAAGAGAGAAAGAAAGATGAGCAGCAAAAGAAAGAAAAAATAAAATATGGCAGATGGGTAAATAGACTGTCATTGAAATCTTTGTTCTGTTCAGATTTTAAATAAGTTCTTTTCTTGATCTCTGAAAGATCAACGTTCGAGTAGAACAAATGTGATGAGGCTTGCAACACCAGAACAACTCCAGAATGTGTTTGGGGAATTTTAGAAATACATTAACCTTTGCATTCAAATGTCGACTGCGTACTGAAAGTTAATATTCCTCAAACAAAATCTGTTGTATCTTGAATAAATTTGATTTCTATTTATATCTTATGCTGAATAGAATTTTTAAACGAAAATACAAGCAAGTGAAAGATTTTATTAAAGAAGAGATCGACGCATCGAATAAAAAATAAAGAAGAAAATGGATGGATTTTAAAAAGATGCAAAGTTAATGGAATTTTAAATAAATTGACAAAATAAAAGAATAACGATTCATTTTGATCAGGTTTCGCAATAGATATGGTCATTGATAAGTAATAGGAGATTAAGGAATTGTTCACAATATCAGAAAAAGGATGTATTGAAACGAGGAAGAGTGAGAGAATAAAAAACGGTTTGAAAATTAAAGACAGTGAAGGAAGATGAGGTAGATGCATTGATGACTGGAAGTTGGAAGAAAAATAAAGAAAGAAAGAAAGAAAGAAAAAGAAAGAAAAAGAAAGAAAGAAAGAAAGAAAGAAAGAAAGAAAGAATGTTAGGGTGATGCTGATCAAAATGGAGAATATGTGAATGAAAAACCGGCGAAAGGAACGGAGAAGGGAAAAGAGGAAAGAGAAAAGAGAAGAAAGGGAGAAGAGAATAGAGGAATAAAGAGAGTAACGAAAAGAGAAAGAAAAGAAAAGAAAGAAAGAAGCGTTGGTGTTGGTGATACTAAATAGATAAAAAAAAAAGCATGAGTAGACCAATGTGAATGAAGCTGAAGCCGATATACAAGAAAAAAAAAAAGACTTGAAAGCTTAATAATTAGGGACAATGCATGTAGTTGAAAATTGTAAGTGAACAGAAATAAACATATGCTTGGTGTCAGGCCTATCGTTGAGATAAGGGCTGAAAATCGAAGGGCGGGCCGAAAGAGTCATATGCTGTCGATATAGCATCGGCTTTCCAGAAAGTTAATTGCTGACAAGAACAACATCAAAAGAACAGATTTGGGGCGGTGAACGAAGGAAAGCAACTTTTGGCCTTGTGCCATTTTTCTTTCGCCTATCATATTTCTGCTTCTTGTGATTTTTTAAAAACTGCTTCTCATAGAAGCTTTCAAACGGTAACTGACAGCGTGCTGATTTACGAGGAATTACAAGCGTAGGAAATTGCAGATGTCAAAATTCACCATTTGCACAAAGACACATACATACATGCGTACATACATACACGAATATATGCTTGTGTGTGTGCGTCTGTGTTTGTAGGGGTCTGTATAAGCGCGCATACTATAGAGTGATGATTAAAACCGCCCAACCTGAGAATTACAATTGGCGACACCAAAAGTAAACAAGTGAAATTTTCAAAGTTCTAGGAAGTACTTTAATAGAGCATGAAAAATGCGACAACATAATCCGAAGCTACATTGGGATAGCGAAAAATGCCTTCAGAAAGTTAAGCAAAGTATTAAGAAACAGGGTAATTTAATAGATTCCCCAAAAACCTTCAAGATACGCAAAGATCTTGCATGAGATGCGTGTAACAAACTTCACAAGATTTGGCGCGCCAATATTCCATCCTTCTTAAAAGCCCAAATTTTCCACAGATTGATTGAACCAGTTCTACTGTATCGACCAGAAACTTGAATATTATCTGATCGTCTTAAAAGAAGACTGGATGGAACATATGCAAATCTACTTAGAAAAATCCAGAACATCAGCTGGTGATCCTATGCAATGCTTAACACAATTTATGGAGAACTGAGATCAATCACTCTTTAGTTCAAACAAAAACGATTACTGTTTGTCGCCATTGCCACCGAGCGGACAAGGAAATCGTCTCATCCTTACTCCTATGGCGTCCTTCTCACGAAAATTGATTTTTCCAGACACCATAGTTCGGGTCTCAGGGTTGGACATTGGGGATATGGGGAGAGCAATACAGGACCAAACAGTGTGGAAAGGGATTGTTAATGGAGTTCCAAGCAACCACAGGGAGGTCGAATAATTATGATGATGAAGGAACTTTCATTGAAAACAATAGTACTAAACTGTTATGTAATATCGGGGTTCTTATATGGCATTGAACGCTAGACTATTTCGTCAAAGATGGAAGAGACTTGAAGCACGAAGTATCGTTCTTTTGAAGGATGATGGGATTGAAAACAAGAGCAACGACGAAGTTTTAGAGAAAATGGAAATAAAAAAGACACATATACGTGTTATCAGAAAAAAAAAAATTGAAATTTTTTTAAAGTAGATTATCAGGGAAGAAGGTTTGGGATATTAGACACTCACAAGATATACTGAAAGCAAGAGAGATGGAAACAGCGAATAACCTACCTAACAATCTTGTGTAAATGTCCATGAATTGATGTAAATGTTGAGATTACTAAGTGTATATGCGTCTGTTACCTTCATCATTAAATGTAAATGTTTTCTGAAGCAATGTCACTTGCTATGTTACTTTAGACATTTCCAACGCTCAGGTGGTATTCCTTCCATCAGGTATTCCCGGTCAACACAGGACATCATCTACTACGAGATATAAAAAAATATCTTCAATTTCATAAATGGAATGTCCAATTCGTCTGATATCCATTATCATGCCACAATTCGAACTTTGATAATTCCTATCTCTTTGCCATGTACAGCCACAAAAATATTAGAGAAAAAATGATTTGGGTTTGGGTCTTTCGTTGACATAATGCTATGCCACCTTTACATACTGATATCCTCTGACTTTTTGTATATCATTATCTGTACACTACAGTTCAATATTTGAGGACACCACTGGTAATTTTTTAAAAATTGGTAGTTGTTTTGTACTTTAAATAAAAAAAAAATGATTTTACATTTTTAAAAAAGTGAGACTTTTATTAGAAATTTTATTATGAAAAAAAGGAAAGAATTTTATGATTCACTTTTGCTCTCGTCAAAATATCCTCCTTTAGCTTTGATTACTGCAGCACAAAATGTTCCATTCATTGCAAAAGTTTCTCAAAGTATAAGTCTGATAATTGATTCCATTCTTTTTTCAGTTACCCTAAAGAGCTCTTTTCCATTTTCTTTATTAGAAATTTTATTATGACAAAAAGAAAAAAAAAGCATTTTATGATTCAATTTTGCTCTCAACAAAATCTCCTCCTTTAGCCTTTATTACTGCAGCACAAATTTTTGCCATTCATTGAAAAAGTTTCTCAAAGTTGATAATTGATTCCATTCTTTTTTTTAATCATTCTAAGAGCTATTTTCCTTTTTTCTTTTTTCATTCTTCAGTCAAGTTCATCCCATGCTAATTCTGGTGGTGGCTTTAAACTTTTGAATTGTAATGTATATTTGTATGTATGAATAACTACAAAACGAAAACTGATCTTAGCCGACGAATTTCATCGTCTGATGGTAAATTTAAGGATTTTATTTTGTGACAAGTATTTATATACAAGAGCAAAAGCCTATTGAAAATGAACGTCCATAATGTAAGTTAAAATTAAATGAGTGTTTCTGGAAACAGTTCGGTACATCTGCTCACGATTGGAACCAGTCTGCGTTATTATTCACAGTATCCAAAAGAAAGCTACTAACCTTTGCATACCCGAATTAACCGTTAACCCCCCACCACCTAGCCTCTCACCATATTCTATCGTTATTATTATCGTTATTACTATTGCTAATATTCCTTACTTCCATCATGTTTCACCATTTCATAGCTAGAACCCGCCATAACATGTTCAGGGTGACAATCATCCTCCAGCTTCTACCCAGAATTGTTTCTTTGTGGAACAATCTCCCGAGAGGGTGGTTTCCTGATAACTACAATCATGGTCTCTTCAAACCTTCTCTCTTACAATACTCTTGTTCATTAATCCTCTACCATGATTGGCTCTTGGGCCTTGTATTGGATGAACTAACAAAAAACAAATCATCACCAACCGGAAGCATATTCAGTGTAAACAAATCAAAACAAAAATTCTTACAATCTAAAAATATTACCTGGCTTTAAATAACCTGAAAATGGTTGATAAGCTGTAGAAAATAAATTAATCAATCAGTCGGGACTGAATCCGAACATTAGTAACAGTCAGGGTCTTTTTTATGTCTTACACTTATTTTGAATATAAATGGTGTTTTCTTGTTTTGGTTTTGCTTAATGTCATTACTCTTACATTACTGTCAAGGTTCTTGGCTGAACGACTGAATGTATCACTTGCATTTTAATCAGTCTCTCTCTCTCTCTCTCTCTCTCTATATATATATATATATATATATATAATATTAGATATAAATGTGTAATTGCATTTATGTTTGGATTAGTTAATGAATTGATTTGAAAGAAAATTTTATACCATTATGAAAACTTTGATAACATGAATATTTTATTTAACATAATAAAAGATATAATCTTATCGATTAGACATTGACAGATTAATCTCTATATGATGGTGTAGTCTAATACAAGATTCATTAATGTGGATGATGATCACACCTTAGTTGAAAAGGGACATTTGTTAATATCCACTGAATACTCGTCGGTTTCATGATCAAAAGAGGATATACAATTACATAAATGTCCAAAAAATACACATGCTCAAACGAT